AGTTTTAAAATATCGGCATATCGGATATCGGCCAAAATCCCAATATTGTGCATCCCTAATATATACATATATATATACATATATATATACATATATATATAAAACAGCTTATTTTTATTGGGTGATTTTTTTTCCAGCCAGGGCCAGCCCAAGGCATCAGCAAACTAAGAGACTGATTAGGGCCCCACAGCAACAAACAATTTCAGAATAAAACTGCAATATTATGTCAATATATCTTTATTCGTGTGGAAATTAGCAGTTTTGTCAACATTCCATTGATTGGAAGCGCAAAAATACATACATAAAACAGAAAAAAATGAATTTTCAAAAATTAAAACGGAAAAAAATGAATTTGGGAAAAAATTTAACAGAATTTGGGGAAAAAATGAAACGGATTTTATAGGGCCCTCCAGTACAATAATTCAAAGTTATTGTTAGCATTAGAAGGGCTGTTTATGACATTATAGTTAGAGGTCAGAGAATTTTTTTTTCATGATTTATTTATAATTTCATTATCATGGAACAAACGAGTTCAGCTGTGAAATAATGTGGGATATTGGGATAACCGCTCTAATTTAGTTCTCATAGCTATCCAGCAGATGCCGCCATTCTAAACCGTATCAAATATAATCCAGCATGGTGTCAAGTTTTAGCCAGTTGTGTCAAACTGGTTCTCAGGGCTTTGATATTTTCATCACTACTGATATGGCGGAAAACATGGCTTGAAGCGCCACTAGTGAAGTTATTAGTGTGACTTATTAGGACTCGTGCCCTCACCGAGCAGTGTTCTTGAGAAGAACACAGGAAAGTCTGGACTGGGGGAGAACGGGAGCACGCAGCATAAATATGGGTCAATTGGAACAGAAGCGTACTGATGACATCACCACATGCTCAGCTCTTCTGGAGCTGCATTTCTCCTGTTATTAATGGTCTCTAGATAATAATAAATTCGTACTTTTTTCATTTAGTTGGGGAATAATAATGAACACAGATAAACAAAAATCAAATTTACATTTTGCCAAATAAAACAAAAATATCGGCATCATAGCCAGCGGTCCTTCACACACGGCGATGCAGAGAAAGGGATGCTGCAGACGGGCTAAAAGTAGCCCTGGCTGCCATTACCCTCGGAGGTAAATAGGCCATATAGTGACGCTTAAAAGTATAATATTCTCACCTCAAAATATCTTAAAACTTACTTTTATTGAACAACAGCAACAGAAAATAACTTTTAACCTAATACTCTGAGCTCACCAGCTGTCAATGTCAAGAAGGGACAAGTCTGCTCTGATGCATGCTGGGTAAAGAGGGAGGGGCCAGAACAATATCTGCTCTCGGTTTGCTATTCTGGTGAATTAGAACAGTAGTAGGGCTGAGGTTGATGACGTTTCACGAGTACACGAGAACGCACAAGTACACATACCCCCTGTGCAACAGAGCTATAGCCAAGCACATGGGGCGTCACTGTGTTGCCATAGTAACGACTGCTTTCCTTTTCTGTTGGAGGAATTTCCCTCATTTTCATATGACGGAGTATTAGGGTCAGGCTACAGATTTTTTTTTTCTTCTATTTTGAGAATAAAGTCACAAGAAGAATAGTCATAAAATTACGAGAATAAAGTCGTAAAATTACGATAATAAAGTCATAACAGTACGAGAATGAATTCATGAAATTACGACAATAAATTCATAAAATTACATGAATAAAGTCATAACATTATGAGAATAAAGTCGTAAAATTACGATAAAGTCATAACAGTACGAGAATAAATTCATAAAATTACGTGAATAAAGTCATACCATTATGAGAATAAAGTCGTAAAATTCCAAGAATAAAGTCATAACAGTACGAGAATGAATTCATAAAATAACGTGAATAAAGTCGTAAAATTATGAGAATAAAGTCATAGCAGTACAAGAATAAATTCATAAAATTATTAGAATAAATTCATAAAATTACGTGAATAGTCATGACATTACGAGAATAAAGTCATAAAATTACGTGAATTAAGTCATAACAGTACGAGAATTAATTCATGAAATTACGAGAACAAATTAATAATACAACGTGAATAAAGTCATAACATTACGAGAATAAAGTGGTAAAATAACGTGAATAAAGTCAAAACATTACGAGAATAAAGTCGTAAAATTACGAGAATAAAGTCGTAAAATTACGAGAATAAAGTCATAACAGTACGAGAATAAAGTCATAAAATTATGATAGCAATTGCGATATTTGATCATTTATGTCTTTATTCTCTTAATGTTACAACTTTATTCTCGAAATAGAAGAAGACAAAAAAAATCTCAAGTCTGACCCTAATGCTCTGCCGTATTTTCATCACTAGATGGCAGTAATTCTTACACGCTGTCCCTTTAAAATGGGCCAGTTTAGTCCCAGTAAGTTTAATTTTGGTAAATGTTTAGTTTACTTGCATGAGTCCATTTGGGAAATTTTAGATATAAACTTTTGAATAGTTTAAAATATGAGTTTGAAGCACATAGTTTTGGTGAGGATAGCTGCTAATTATGTTGACATTACAAACATCTTTGGTTTATTTAAGGCACATTTAGCTTTAGTAATTCATGGTGTTAAACTACACAGAGTTTAATGTTAGCATTATGACAAAAAATAGCAACAACAAACACTTAAACTAACTTTAGCCACTAAAGTTAAGGTTTATTAAGGTCATTATTATATATATTTTCTGATGTGCAAATGGAAAAAAAACCCTAAAGGTCAGAATTTATCTAAAATAACTTTTTTTAGCTAATGTCAATAAAGCTAGATTTCAGACACGTCGCGGTCCAGCGAGCGCGAGCGCAGCGGAAAGTTGCGAAGAGATTTGATTTTTTTCAGCTATAAAAAAAAAAAAACTGAGTTTAAGAAGAGAAAAAAAAAGTAGAATAAAAACAGGATAATAAATGTCTGGGATAAGAAACAATGCTAGCCTTGATGCGTGTTCACACAGCAGCTCAACCTCCATTTTCCAGCACAGCTGCCTCTGCTGGAAATGTGCAATAAGTTGAGAAAAAGTGGGAAAGTTTTCAGGAGTCTGCTCACCTCTCTCTGCAGCGCCGCTTCATCGGAGTTAAAGCCTCCGTGAGGAAGTGTGCGGCTCCCGGCAGACAGCTCCAGTTTCCTCGGTGGGTGAGAATCTACAGCAGCTCTGATTTAACAGTGAACTGCGCAGAGCTTCTGTTCATAACTGCCTGTCCCTAAGCTCAGCCATTTTCCAGCTCAGCACGGGGCAGGGATGGGGGGG